GACACAAAAGTCGTCACCGGGATGGCGGCCGTCTTCTTTTGTATTTTCAGTTTTATCTTCAATTTGGCCAGCAATAAAAAACAAACGACTGTCAATCGAGAATGGCTGCCTAAACCTCAGGAATCCAGCCGTTATTGGTCGGCGCTCGCGGCCGCGACGGGCGCGATAAAGAATCGCGTGTCGGCGGGAGACGGCCCACAGCCGCGGGGTCCAGCGATACAGAGTGCAGAGCAGAGGCCGGCCAACGAGTTGGCACAGAAGGGAGACGCAGCTGGAGAGAAAACTGTGATAGCCGATATGTGAAGTGTTTGGGAGCTTGGCGACGCGATCACACGGACACAAAGGAGCAAAACAAAAGTTTGAGAAGTAAAATTAAATGCTGCAAAAGAGGCAGCTATCGAGCAACATCATACTGTCCAATTCGCGTTTAAGCACTCATGACTTTGTAAATAGGAAACGATCATCGCATGAAGGAGCGGTAGTAAGAGCTGCCAACAGCCTGGGTTGCTTGCCCTTCATGAACAGAAACGGTTCGTTGGCTACTGTTCCACAGTCGCCGCCGTCAAATCGGGGTCTAACCGTTTCCGCACTGACCCGGCCGGGCTAGCGCCGCGGCTGGTTAGGCTAAACCAGAGCGAAACGACCACTAGGGAGCAACAAGGCGCGCGGGACGGCGCGCCGGCCGAGACCGTATCTCGCGGTCAGTCCGCCGGCCGGGCCGACGGCCAGCAGTTGACTCGCTGAAATGTGTCGTGAAAAGATGAGATCAAAATGCTTTATGGCCTCTAAAAGAGGCATCACTCTTTTGTCTTACTCTGAACGGAACGATGCGTCTCCATACAGATCTGCTCATTTCCTCTGGGCGGGAATAAATCTCGGCGCGTGTGCGCTCGTGCGGCGTCTCGGAGCACGAGCGGCCGTCCAGCCGCAATCCTGCTCGCACTGCCATCAGACGGGGTTAGCACGGTCAAATCGGTGCACTGTCCGGCCGGGCCTCACAGGACCGCGGAGACAGTCTGACCGACCACCACTCGACGGACCCAGGAGACGGCCGCGAGTGACGGCTGACGGGTGACAAGTGACGGGTGACTTGGGGACGCACGGGGTCGCCGGCCGGTGCGCCTCCAACGTGCCACGCGCCACTCCACGTCTGACCTGGCCGTGTGTAAACAGTCCGTCATGACGCAGTGCGCCGCCGTCGACCGCTGAACCCGTGCTCTCCTCGCTCTGTTTCCTCCAGTCGAGCGGTTCTCTGCCCCGTGTCTCCTGTCGCGCGGCGCGGCCTCTCGTGCAGTCTCTCACGCGACTGCCGATCGCTACCCCGTCCCTCGCCGTTCGCCGCCCACCGCCCGCCATTCACCACCGCTGATCCACAAGGAACCCGCGGAGCCGTGCACTACGAGACAGGAGCTCCGGCTGTAACGAAGAAATAACGGCCGGTCGGCGGCGGCGGCGGCATCGGTGACGAATGCGGCCGGCCCAGTGGCTCGCGGATGAAATAGTATGCACTCTTGGCGGCCGGGGCGCCGTTCGACCCGGCCATCACACATAAGAGATGTCCAATCGCATGGCGCTTTACGACGGCGACAGTCGATAAAAATTGCTCCCAGCATCTCAAAATGGCCGATTCTCGGCAATAATCGTGATGCATACATGTCGCGCGAATGGCAAACACATTTCACGTCGGCCGGCAGCGGCGGCGTACGTGGCTGTTAGGTTCGGAGACGTCGGCACGTCACCGACCCGGCCGCGCCGCCGGCATAAAACCGACACGGCATATATGAATGCATAAATCTAATCCGGCTAATGTATGACGATTTGGCAAATGAAATGCGGCGTCGGTGGCGCGCTGTCGGCGCCGGGTGACGGCCGGTCGCCGCGTTCTGCTCCAATCAGGGCTGCCTGGCCCGGTCCGGCCCGGTCCGTCCGTCCGGACGGACGGACGACGGCACACGGCCGGCTGAACAACTGACGCCGACCACTGGCAGATACAAATGTTTCAGAGATTATTCAAATGTATGCCGTGGATTTGATATTTTGAACTCCAGTACAGCAACATGTCCTGTTTACAACTCGGCTCAAAGAACACCATGACTTACATAAATAGAAGGCGTACCTGGACATCAGACATAAATAATTTTGTAATTTTTAAATACCTACATCAGTGCCATCACATCATTGAGCATGAGTATCTTTAGGGATGTTCGCACAGTATTTCCTCTCCTAGTGCCTGATCACTGATCTATATCCTGAAGATGACCAGCCTGTGTCAGAGGCGGCCGATCGCCGTCTTTCGCTCCGACGTGCCATTCCTCAGCGCATGTCTGCGTGAGAGCGGCGGCAGCGGCGCGCCACCACCGCCGCCGCCGCGCCGCTAATCATGATTTATGACGTCATTAGTCACGTGATATGCAGGTAGAGGGGCGGTGATGAACGAGCCGGCTTAGGTCACGAACAGTCGGCTTACGGCCATATCGGCGCCGATCTGCGGCGCTCTCGCCGCGCGCCAATGAGAGCCGCCCCAGGATTAAAATCGTCTCAAAGTAACATTAATTACAGTTCCATTTCCGACAGAGCCGTCGACGCCGACTGAATTGTAAATCAAGTTTGATTTTTGTCGTCGTTTCAGTTCGCCATGTCATCGACGCACAGTGGTGGTGATCGAACACTACCGCCGACTATCGCCGCTGGCGAGGTAATGAAATTTCGCCTATTGTTTTCGTGGTTTTTACGTGCCCCGCGTCGAAATGTCCGGCAAGTGTAGAACAGCGCTGCGAAATTAAATCACAACGACGCGCGGCGCCGCACCGGCCAACGCCCGTCGAACTGAAAGTGGCCTCTAACGCGCCCGGACCGACGGCCCAGCTACCTTTATTGTTTTCCAGAAGCAGAAATAATGGCTTGATTAGAACATCTGTATAAGACAGGGCTGAAAGGTGATTGCAGGAGGCTTGGAAACACTGTGTTGAGCTGAGCTCGAGCTCGACTCGGTGATCCCATCGTGGAGGGAGCTGGGAGAGGGGAGGAGGGAGAGAGCGGAGGAAAGTCGAGCCGAGACGGACGAAGGTGCCGGCACATTGGTTCGGAGTTGGCTGGAACCTGCTAGAGTTGCAAAATTTCCCTACCGCACTACCGGCATGCCGGTAATTTTTCACTACCGCAGGTTTTTTCGTGGTATCTGGCATGTCTTGCCGGTAGCATGCCGGTATTTTTGATTTTGCACACAAAAAAATTATCAGCATATGATTCAAACTTAGAGGACACTAAGAGGCTATTGAATTGTAATAACAGCAATCTTAGCCACTGCAAAATACATTTTGTGATAGAAGTTCCATTGCTAAGGGTAGGGGTAACACATGAACCTCAGCATTTCACAGGTTTGGCTCTAATTAGAATTGTCAAGAATCTACTGTGGTCTATCAAAGGAAGACAAAGAATACTCATTCATGTTGCAAAAGCACAACCAATTAGTAAGTCTAATGGTAGGTAATAGGCATAATACAATAACTAAAATAAATAAATGTTCATGGCAACATTCCCTACGCAAAAGGCAGAATCAAAACAACACAAAACACATTGTTTGGAAACTGGCCTTGAGTCCTGAGATGTGGTCTGAGATACTCTACAATGAATTTGACACTGAAAATCCAGCTGAAAAGGCAGGTGTTAGGTAGCCCTGAGCCTAACTTTGGTCCCAAAACGAAATGAAAATGAATTAAACTGGCATTTTGTCTTATCTTTACAAGAAAACACAACATGCAGACGAAATGAATACAGAGTGGCGCAATGTGGCGCAAAGGCAACCAAGGATTGACTTTTAAGATCCTCTGTCCCCTAAAGAAAGGATTTAAGCTGATGACGTAATATTTATTCATATGCCCTTTGGTTGAATCACTCAAGAGAAATCAATTTTCTTGTAGTGAATAACACTCACAGTGTTGATTTCATTGGAATTCAATATCGTGTTGGATGATTTTTATCAATAAAATCATTCACGAGGCAGAAGTTTGCAGTCCTAAAACCTTTTTTTGCAGTGTTTTAATCAGCTGATTAAAAACTGTGTTATGGCGCATCTGTTTCGAAATATGATAACCTTGTGTTTGTTCCCGCGTTTGAGATGGGGGAGGATATTATATCGTTTTTATACATATGATTTGGTGACTTCTCAGGACAAGTGGCTATTAACACATATTTTTACATGTTTCGTATCTTACTCACGAGCCAGCAAGCCATGGCGGATAGGATGGCCTTGGCGGATAGGAAAAAGCTGATGTTGATCTCGCTTCCTCAGTTAGGAACATGGCCGAATCTGTAGTTTTTATATTGTGATTTGTGACTATCTATAGTTCATTATTTGGTTGGTACCTGCAACATTTTAGGAGAATGTGGAAAATAACGCTTGTGGTAAATGTGATTGCTGCTCACTGTGCAATCTTCAGAAACACATTTCAGTAATTCAAGTTCTTTTTGTCCTTGCTTTTTTGATGAATGTGTTAATGCTTTTTGTAGGCAATACCTTTTTGATTACAGGTGATATTTTAACAGCTGTAGACTGGAATTGAGTTTCAAAATTGTGGTATTTGTGGGGCGAACTCAGCCAACATCAGGCTGCTGGTAGTTTTGGTTGGACAATGGGTGGCTGCTGGGTGGGGCGGCTACTGGAATTGCCAAATTGTGGCATCTCATGTAGGGGTAAGCCAGAATCAAGAATGCAGGTTTTTTGGTATGCCGGTAATTTGGCGGTTTTTTTTCTTGGGGCGTGGTAGCATGCCGGTATCCCATAAAATTTTTGTGGGGCGGGGCGGTGCCGGTAGCAGCCCATTTGGAAAACTTTGCAACTCTAGAACCTGCCACCTGCAGTTTGAGAAGTACCAGAACTAGACGGAGGAACGCACATTGTCTTGTCATCAGATTTCCTTCCGCAATGAAGCAAACATCCTTATCACACGCCACCGCCATCATCCCCCTCACCACCCGCGGCTCATCTGCGCGGGACTCACCTTCCTTCCCGTCCTCGCCGTCCTCCTTCGCGGCCGGTCCGACCGGCTCGGGGAAGATGACGGCCGTGTCCTTGCGGCTCATGTACTCCTGGATCTTGCGCTCCTCGCTGACGTTGTTGTTCTGGCACGGCGAGTCGCCGGCCACGTCGGCGTCCATGTCGATGGTGAGCTCGCTCTCGGCCTCGTCGTTCGAGTCGCTCTCGCCGTCGCTGCCGACACGGCTGGCCGACGCCGGCCGGTCCGGGGTGGGCTCCTCTTCTGCGGTCATCTCGACAGTGGCGCCCACCTCCAGGTCAACTGGAACACAGAGGGAAAGGGTACCGGTCAAAGGTCAGATATCCACAGTGTGGGCACTCCTCCAGATTAACTGGAACACAGAGGGAAAGGTGATGTGTCAGCGGACAGATCTCCACCTTGGGGCCCACTTCCAGGTCAACTGGAGCACAGAGGGATGGGTCAGAGGTCAGGCCTCTTGTGACGGCAGCCTCCAGGTCAAATGGAACACATACTCGTACGGTCAGCGGCAGGCTATAGAAGTGGAGATCACTTATTCGGCGTTCGCAGCGTTTATTCCACATCACTTCCCTGAACTCAACACGATATCCTGTCTAATGCTCGCCTCTCTGAACCACTCGTCATCCCTGGCTTTCAGCCCTGCGCGGCGGCTCCGGCCTGCACCGCTGCCTAGTCCGGGGCCCGGACCTCCCGGCACCGCCCGGCCCGGCGGCTGACTCAGCCTCAGGTGAGCGCCCACCGACCATCCCATCTCTCGGCGACACGGCCATGCATCATGTGGACGTCCGCGGCAATTATGAATATTATTCCTGGGTGGCCGAGCTGGCGGGCCGTCCCACGGCACACACGGGAGCTGGGCTGTCACCGGGCGGCAGGGTCCCCTCCCACCGGCAGTGGGACAGGAGGGCCGGCCGGTACATACTGGAGTGTGGGAGGTAGGGAGGGAGAGAGGGAGAGAGGGAGAGCCGAGAGAAGGAAGGTTAAGGTGGACGAGAGAAAAGCTTTGTGATTGAAAAACTATTGATTAAGAAAATAATAGAAAATCATCAACATCTTTTTTTTCTTCTCAAAACGATGTGCATTTCCAGTCAGTTAAAACCTATAAAAGTGACATAATGAGTCGCTGCATTAGCATAGCTGAGCGTTGATCCCTCAGACGGGATGTTCGCTTGAACCGTTACCCGCTGTCATCAGCATCTGAGGGGGCAGAAGGGGCGGGGCCGGTGGGGAGAGAGCGGGGAGAGTGAAGGCATCCGCCGCGAACCGGCAGGATTGCAGAGCCCGTCTACAATAACAGGGATAATGCCTGTGACAACACGGCCGCACCTCGCCGAGGCGGCCCGCTCGGCTTATTGCGGCCGCCAGTCGAGCCGTGTCGTGTCACCCCGTGCAGCTCTGAGAGCGGCCGGCCGGCTGGCGCTGGAATCTGGGGTAAGGGGGCCGCGCCGGCCCGACCCCGGCACAAAACGGTCGGACACGGGGCCCCAATACACTATCAAAGCACGGCCCACACAAACAGCAATGAAAGCGCTCGTCAGCAAAGTAAATACCTGACGAAATTCGGCAGTGTCCTCGGAAAATACAGCACGGGAGACTGTCAGTGCTGAGACAGCCTCATCTGCACTCTAAAAACGGCTCAACTTTAGGTGGTCAATAAAGGCTGAACGAGACACGGGATTGGAAGACAGCTGATAAATTCGAAGCGATTGATATGCTTGACAATATCATTTACGCGGACATCTGTGTAACGGGCGGCATCCATCGTGCCCGGAGATATCCAGGTCGTTTGCCGCAGTGGCGTGTGACGGCCGCACATATTTTATACTCGGCCGGCGCTGACCGCTGCAGGCGAGACTGACTGATGCCGTGTCCGACCGGCCGACCTTGTGGGGCGCTGCCGAGACCGACACTTCCACGCAGTCACACACGACCACTTCACACGCCGGCGCCGCCGCCGCCCAGCGGCCATTCACAGGCGAACGGCTTCCTTTAGTGTCGGAGCACATTCGCCTCTCAACGACGAATACGCGCCCATCCATCTTACAAAGGGCAATCTCATGTATGCAAAACTCCCGCTCCAGAATAACTAATCTATATCCATTTGTTCAGTGCATTTTCAGTAGCACTAGCCCGGATTTCATGGCTCGTTTTTCCCTGTTCAATCTCGACGGCTACGAAACTGCGCCGGCGATCGTTTACGTGGACATTTTGTTTCCTAATAGGGTTGGTAACGGGCCTCATATTGTACGGTAGAATATCAGCACCATGTGATTATTCCAATTTGACCCGCTCGATAAATTGTTTTACACTGCATGTTCCTTACGAGTCTTCATTTTGACGAATTTAGTAGAGGCAATTGCAAGCTACAATCTCATTTTCCACAACTGGTGCGCCTTAACGATAATTTAATTACATCAGGGGCGGGCTTATTTGCATTATTCCTCCACTCGTTTACATAAAACTCAAATAACGTCCGAAGAATTAACTCGAAATCTAATAACTGCACAGGGCAGCAGAAGTCACGACGCTGCTCGGCTCCATTCCTCTGCTGGGGGTCGGAGATGGCGGTCACTTGTCCGAGCCTCATTCTTCGTGGGCGGGGGCGGGCAGAGGCCGGGAGCGACCACTAACTTGTTGCCCTATTCATTGATTTATGACCGACATTTCCACAACATCGCCGACGTATTTTATAGGCCATTCCAGCCAAAATCAATGCTATTTTGCATCAGGTAGTTAGCGCGCGGCAGCCGCGGGCGGCGACCCACGGCCATCATTTCTGTTGCGTCTGCTCAGGTGGAGTTGATTGCCGCTCGGCTCGGCCCAGGTGCCGCCAGCCGCGCCACCGGCGCCGCTGACAGGTGGGGCCATTAGCGAGATTACTGCGCCCGCCTGTGCCGCCATGATAAATGGCCGCCGGCGCGCCAGGTACGCCGCAGTCCCGGCGCACACCGCCGCCGCCGCCGGCCTGGAGATGAGCGCCGAGCGCGCGGCCGGTGACATTTGGAGCGTGACGGTGCGCGGTGAGCGGCGGAGCGGGACTCGGCCGGACGCCGCTCCGATGAGCGATGAGCCCCAGGTGCGCGTCGGTCGACCACCGCCGGCGGTCCGCCATTTCCGAGCGAGGGGAGCGGCGCCATGGCGTCCGCCGGCCGGGCGGAGGTGGACGGAGGTGACCCACACGGCGGTCCGGGCCGGGCGAGTCACCCCGGAGGGAGGGAAGGGTCACGGGACGGCGCTGAGTCAGCCGACAGTGGTCCGCGGGGCCTCCCGGCGGGTGCGTCATGCAGACACCGTCCGCTGACTATCTCCGCCAGTCGCCGAGCCGGGCGGTGAAACCCCGTCCCGGACCCGCGTGCTACTTCCGCCCACCATTTCTGTCTGACCCGACCACCAGACTGCAGGACACGGATACGTCAGAAATGCTCCCACCGTCCAGCTCTTTCCCGACCACTGCCGGGGAGGGAGGGGCGCCCTCCCAGCGCCGTCCACCCCGTCACAACAAAGCGGCCCGTCACGTGAAGTCGCCCGGCGCGGCGGCGGCGCGTCCGGCCCCGACGGACGCCGCACACGGCGCCAATGCGGCGCGCCACCGACCGCGTCGGCTTCGTCGCACCTCGGCGGGCGCGGCGCACGACGCGTCGCGGGCCGGCCGGGCCCACATCCTGCGCGGCAAACAGCCGTTATTCTTCGTCGCCGGGAACAATACCGGTGCGACAGCGGCGACAAAGGCAGCCGGCAAACCGCATTATAACTCATTTCTTCCAGATCACTTGGCGGCGTCGGCGGTGGCACAAAGGGTCGCCGGCGGGGGGTCGCCGGGGAGCGGTGCCGCCGTCACGTGACAAAGCCTCCCCTTTGATCGGTCACGTTTTCTGCTCGCAGAACGGAGAGCCGATTAATCGATGACAAATGAGGATTTAAGGCACTAAATGTGCGGATTGCACGCATGCCGTTTTAAGGAGCTGAGCAAATACGTGAAAATCTAGAACGCTTTAAGCGCGGCGAGCTTTGTGCCGAAACTTTATTCAAATGAAGCAAGTTTTTGGCGGACCGATTCACGCTTCTCAATTCTCCACAGGCGACAAGTTTCCATGCAAAAACTGACAGCCGAGGACGTCGCATAATGGCGAGGCTCGCGAATTCTCAGACACGTCACTCCTTCCGTAACCCAGCCATTGGCGCGAGTCCGGACTCATCTCTTGGGCCCGATTTCCTCTCGGTCCGCGTCACGCTCCCATCGCGGCGCTCCACGGGCCGGCGCCGGCCTCCGGTCTCTGGTAATGGATCGGAGGGCGCGGCTACGAGCAGCCGCCGTTCCGATATCCGCCGGCGCGCCGCCTGTCCCGTTCGTCGGATTCACAAAAGATCAGCGACTGCAGGTAATCACATCAGTGTCCCAGCAGATTTAACGTAAACGGTTCTGGCTTTATCGCGAGACGGGCCCACCGCGGTTCGACAAAATGTCAGCCGGCGCCGCCGAGCGGAGGCCGTGAGTGGGTGGTGGTGGTCCGCCGGGGGCCGCTCGTCCGAGCGGGTGCGCGCAGAGCTGTACTGGCACCGTCAGCCCATCTCTCAGATCAGCGGCGCGCCGCTAATCGGGCCGCCGCTAACCGGTGAGCGACGGCGCCGACGGGCGGCCGCACAACAATCGCACCTTAATGCGGCCTCGTAAAATCTGCATGCTGTCGTTACGGGCGGTACGGCCGGCGCGGTTGGCGGTCGTGCCGTTCCGGTGCTCGTCACCTGCCTTACGGCGCGCCGGTTACGAGGCCGCCGGCGCGGCGCGACCGCGGATAAACGGACCCACCTCACCGCGCGACGGCTGTCGCTCGAACCGCTGCCGCTCGACTCACCGACTCGAGGCATTGCCGCTGGTATCGCTACTGATCGAACCGCCTCTAAAACAGCAACAGAGACGTTCCAGTTGTTGAAGTTCGATCGGTCGGTGCTTGAACGCTCCTTACGGCGGGAGATCGGCAGCCGGTCGGTTGACCAACACTCGGCCGTTTCGCTGCTGGCTGGCCACTAGACCGCGCGGTGGCCACTTTTGACCCAGTCCAGTCCACCGTCCTATATATATATACAGTCGCTGGTGCTCCGGTTCGGCTGTCAAGTTTCCTCAACCGTTTCTGGTGGCGAGGTGTTGGTACTCGCTGGGCTCTTTCTTGCTCTGCCTCCGAGCGCGCCGTGGTTTCACCGTAATGAGGTGTTGAGGGGGGCGGCGTCGCCCGACCGCCGACAGGTCCTCGGGGACATGGGTGTCATTGCGGCCCCGCCGCGGC